AGTAGCATAATGAAGACGACTGGTCATGTGTGCGTAATATTTGCCATAGGCAGATTCTGCTTGACTATTGTTTACAGCATTGAACTCTACTGGGATAAAAATTTGATTGTTTTTAATTGTTATACTACATTAGTTAATATGATTCAAAGTAATGCTTTCTATGTATTTTTTATATTTTGAAATGAATTAGGAAATTACCCATGGCAATTTCATGTAAAATGGTTGGGTATATTTATTTTTTTATATTATGAAGTAAATTAGCAAATGGCAGTTTCAAGAGTTCACACTTAGCTGATGATTTATAAAAGCTTGTTTGGCATGCTGTCCCGGGAGAGAGCCCCGAGCTCAAGGGCTCCTCGAGCCCGGGGCTTGAGGCAAGAGGGGAGCCTGAGCTCGGTGGATCTCAGAACTCCCCTGCTGCGGTGGCTAAGGGAACACAAGGAATTAGACAAAGCTTGGTTGTTATGTATGTTGAATGTCTTTGGATGGTGGGAGGAAACCGGAGAACCCGGGGAAAACCCACGCAGACACGGGGAGAACATACAAACTCCTCACAGAAACACCCACCGGTCCTGTGGAACCAGGGCTGGCAGTGTTCTTGCTGTGGGGCTCACAGTGCTAACCACTGGGCCGCCGTGCCGCCCAATCAGAGGTAGAGGAGGAGAATAGGGGAGGAGGGGGGTTTCTTCCAAACGAAGATAAAGTGAACTGAAAACTGTGGCTATTTATAGTAGCTTAGGGCTCATATGATTGGAAGATAGTGATTAGCAAATGCGAGACCGGCCATGATAAATCATAAGCACGTGATCCTCTTGAAATTAGTTTATGAATAAACTTCACTTAATGTAAAATAGTTTGGTATATTTATTTTTGGCCTTTCATACAAAAAGTTTGGCCACCCCTGGTCTATTTGGTAATTTCAGCAAAACAAAAAGCCGTTGTATGCCAGCTATTAAAGGGATAGTTCACCCAAAAATGTAATTTCATTAGGAAAAGCAATAGCCATTGACTTCCATAGGAGGGAGTGAATGGCTACCACTTTTATAACATTCTTCAAAATATCTTCCATTGTGTTCAACCAAACACAAAGGTTTGGATCCAGTTGAGAGTGCGCAAATGTACATTTTTACATGAACTGTCCCTTTAAAAATGTTTCTTTTTTTCATAGGGCTCCGTTAAGCATATTAAAAACACTAAAATGACAAGCAAAAAAAACAAACAAACATGATTTCCACCACAGGGGGTGTTTAAGTAAACCTATCAGGCGTGCATTATGAAATTTGGACACAATCTATTCGAGGACCGTCTTCCTCCAGTGCAATAATCCAACCTGGTTAATCCGACGCTCTCCCGGTTACTACACAGAGATTAAATTACTGCAGTCAAAGCGACCGGGGCGACCTGTCGCAGCACGTATAAACACAGTACAGGCCTGTGAGGATGATGCACAACAAAAACAGTGCATTGGTGCATGATGTAGCCAAGATGCATATAGGTTTATCTTTAAGCACTGGATTGGATATCAGCAAACGAACAACCTAGGAGCAAACCAACACAGCATTGTGAAAGCATGCATGCATGATGATGGAAGTGGCTGCACATTGCAAAACAATCCCACGATTTATTATCAAACACACGTGCATGACCTCAGCTGCAGCAAAGGCAATGCATGTGGTTTAACAGAAACCCTCATGTCCTTTTATGCATCAAACAAACGCTTTTATATGACTTTTCTTTCTTAATTTAAACCCCCTAAAGAACTGCAGTGCATTCAGACTCCCTGCATTTAACCACTATTCTTGTGTAAAGCAAAACCTTTGGAGGTTTGGAAGGATAACATGTTTTAAAATCCTGTTTCATCTTGTAGCTGCGTTGTCGATGATAGTTTCCAGCTGGCCTGAAACCAGTCTGACCATTTTAAAGTAGCATTTGTTGATGGTTTAAGATCTGATCTAAGAGCTAATTGGTTAATATTGGATGTATTTTCCAGCAGCGGTTGCTTATTGTGATTGCTTACTGGTCTTTAAAAGCAAGAAGATATGGGTTACACAATGGGCAGTTACTTACACACAAGTTACTATGGTGGCCATATTCACAACCATTTAAATAAATAACCTTACTTGGGATTATGCATTTATCTTGCTGCAACCTTTTCAAATTTACACTCAATTTGACGGTCTTTATCAATCATTTTTAATTTCATTGTCATTAATTTAAAAATGTGCAATGAGCTTTATCATTTTGACACCACTCTTGGGTGCATTTCCCAAACAGCAACATAACTCGCAGCTGAACTATCATAGTACGATGCATCGTTTGGAAAAAGAATGATGTAGAGAGGAGTGTTTCCTAAAACCATAGTTTCTCCGTCATTTGAATCATGTTAGTTACTGTATAACCAAGCGGCAACCTCTCGCTCTTCCTCGTGAAGCAAATACGGAAGTAACTGAAACTGCAATTCATCAAAATTCCGCTAGTCCTGGCTCCGTAATAGAGCACATTTCCATTGACCCCACTGTTAAAATGGCCAACTTTACAGCAGAAAAAAAGGTGTTTACAGCCTGGTACAAAGATTGATTTTGGTTCATATAGCTAATATTACCCTTCATGACATCTGTGAGGGGGAATGTAGAAAGGTTCTAACCAACAGGCCCATCATGCATGTGGATTTATTGATTTGGGGGCCCTTAGCAATTCCAGCCAAGGGGCCAAGCAGTCTTAAAATGCACCCTTTGTACTTTTTTTATGCACCCTTTGTACTTTTTGTACTTTGTACTTATTTATTGATATTGGTGTTTTTTTCTCTTGCAATCTCTACAATATTGTTTTTTTTTTCCCTAAAATGATTTCACAAATAAAAATAATAAACAAACTATTTTGTTTTTAAAACTAAACCTTTAGCCAATTTGACTGCTAGACTGCTCCGTGATTCAGGATGGGGGACAAATTTGTGTAGTTGTATTAATTACAGTCCATTAAGACTGCATTTGTTAGACCCTACACCAAAACAATGTTATATATAGTTTATAGGTATAATTTATATTTCTAGGTATTTATTGGGGGCCCTCAGATTTCCTGGGGCCCTAAGCGATCGCTTACATTGCTTATTGGGTTAATACGCCCCTGGGTCCCTGTCATATAGGCCTACAGTACAGTTGCATTTCTTAATAAATAATCTAAAAGCATTAGTGTATGCTATATTTTTTTTTTCACAAGCTTCGGAGACGTAAAGTAAATTCTGCTTTTAAATAATAGGTCACCTATAGCTTTCGCCATTGTACAAGATTGCTTAAACTGAACTGTAAAATCTTGTAAAACAAATTACACCTAAAAGAGATGACTTTCATTTATATTTTTAATCATTCCAAGTTTAAATGTTGGAACATTCTAAATTAATAGGGTATAGTGGGGATAACTGGGAATAGAACACAACCAAGAACTATGCTTCTTATTACAATTTGAGGGGTGTAGTTGCAAGTGCACAAGTTTGCGATGCAGCTTGCGAATGTTGCGAACAATGTTGCGAACAATGGATTTGGGAAACGCCAAATCAACAAACTATGCTTGTAACGACGCAACTTGCAACCTTAGTTGGCTAACGATGGTTTTTGGAAATGCACCCCTGGTTTTAAAAATAAACCTTCACCTCTGAACTAGAAGGTTCTCTCTGACATTTTTTATCAAAACATAGTTATTTACATATTCATATTATGTGACAATTTATTACATTACATGATGTGAGTGTGTGTGTGTGTGTGTGTGTGTGTGTGTGTGTGTGTATGAAGAATTTAAATGCAAAAACATTTAAGTTCCATGTGAAATTTTCCTCTAAAACTTGTGTTTTTCTTAGTTCCTATGTTTATGTTCAGTTAGTTCACTTTAAATGCAATGAAAATAACCTATTCTTTGTAATAAAAGTAAAATTACTGAAACAACACAACAGCCTGAGAAAAATGCTCATTTTAGATGAAAATTTCAGATGACCCTTAGAGGTTTTGCATCTAAACTCTTCATATATTTATGTAATCCAAAAACCTTAAAGCTCAGAAACATGGTGTGAATTACAAGGGGCTGTGGTGGGGAATGACCCCCCTAATTAATGCTTGATCCCTCTGAAGGACGTCAAAACTACATGCAAGGGGGGTCAGCCCTCTAAATAGTGAGAATTAGTTTGCTCTGATCTGTACCTTAAATACTAATATTACTAATTAATATGATAGATAATATAAACGCACATTTGACCACTCCTATAATGGATTATCATTGTGAATTCATAATTATGTCAATCAGTCTACGCCAATAGACATGAAGCATTCACAAGACTCTTGTATAATAGGTGTTTGTTTCTACATTTAAAATTAGATGCATAGTTTATATCATTTGACCTACAGTAACCTCTGAAATAATTAATCAGAAGATAATGTAGGTCAGAATACACAAACATATCCCACAAAACACTGAAAACTTTAAATGAGAGATGCATACATTTGATTAACAGAAGGATGTATTAGACAAAATAACATTACCGAAAAGGTTGACCCCCTGATTGTCAGTGTGTGATTTTCAACCTGACCAGAACTTCATAATTACAAAGTTTTTAAATATTAAAACTTGTATTGTTAGTGTACATGAACAAAAAAGTGACGCAACTATCCAAAATAACGCAGTTTGAAAGGGATTATCGTTTTACAAATGATCATTTACAGCAGCCCTTGTTGAAACTATAACATATTAAACCAGCCTGGAGGCTTATTGGTTTTGACCTGTTTTAGTTGCTCTCCTGACCAAACAGGTGTTCAGATAAATGTCAAACTGCTCTCCTGCACCAAAATACGCACAGCAACTGTAAAACCAACAAACCAGACCAACCCAGAAGACCAATATACCCTTTTAGACTGGTTTAAGATGGAATGGTAATTATAACTACTGCGTTTAGGGGAAATTTTGGTACGCGGTTTCGGTTACAGGCGCGCGTCAAAGCCAAAAACAAAGTTACTCACGTCCCGAGCACCTCCTTGAATTCAAAAATCTCCTTGATATTATCGACTTGCTTCTTCCACGAGCAGTCCCCGCCGGCCTCTCCGTTCTCCCGAGCCATGGCGGAAAAAAACGGGGAGGACCGTAGATGGAGAAGTGAGCGCTGGAGATCCCCGGAGATTTTCCCCGCTTTCCCACGCTGCACTTCCTGCTCTCTCTCTCCTTGACTGGCTTCTCTCGCCTTCCCCGGTTGTACCGTTACCGAATAACCCCGGAGAGGATCTCCCGCGTGCGCTCGTCACCCTGCAGCTGCTTAAACGGTTTGACGTAAATAGTTGAGAGTGGCTCGTGCGTGCGTGTCACCTTTGCGGTGTCTTAACGGCACCGGTGCGGGTTTATTCCGCCCCGCGCGGATGATGCTGATGCTGAAGGTTGATCCTGCGCGGATGGACTGATGCGCTGCATCTGTTGTTATGGCAATGAGGAGAGAAAGAGAGAGAGTGAATGAGGAGGAGGAGGAAGATGCACTGCTCCTCACGGCGCGACCTGACAAAGAGCAAATGCACGAGAAGTATGGCAAGCCGCATTCACATTGATTGACTAGCAAGCTTTTTTTAATTAGTCACTTGTGACAAGTTATCCATCAGATTATGCTACCAATACTGTTGTTGAATGGTTCTGAGGTTGGGGTTAGGGAATAGGTAGGTTTGGGATATATCATAGCTTCATATCACACTATACTCCACATTAAAATTTTCACTGGTAACAAAAATCGAATGGGTAGCATATTGCGACATCAAGAATTCTGGCCCAGATTTAGCATAAAGCTGGCATAGCAGGCATTCATTTGGCAGTGGCATGCAGCATGTGGGCCAGACATGGCCTGGGTTTGGCAGCGGTGGCACCGTCTTTAAGGGGGCACACAATCCCACATAGCAAATGGACTTGGCCCAAATGTGGGCCATTATGGCACTGCTGGCCTGTTGTCAGCACTGGCATGCATGATGTCAGACGAATGTGGCCCATGCATGGCAATGAAGGCACTGCATGCATGACGGCAAACTACATTTGTATACATTTGTAACTACATAAATGCCAGTTGTGAATGGGAAGGTTGTGGCCCAGATCAGTGTAGCGATTGTTCACATTGTTTAGGTAACGTTAAGCTGGGTTATGGCTCAGTTTTTGGGGTTTCTGGTTAAAGTAACTTATGGCTGAGAATCGGTACCAATAATAAACCTTGGCCCAGTTCAGGGCCAGTTAAGGGTTATAAATTGCCTGAGATTTAGGCTGGTTATGGCTCATGTGTGGCCCTTGTCTTTAATCCAGTTATGGGCCATTTCAGGACTGTCATTCTTTGCGGTACTTAGGCAGAGGGAAAACTTATTTTGTGGCCCGGATCTGGGCCCATAGCACAGCTGAAGGTACCCTTGTTTTGCTAGGTACCCTTTGGAAAAGTGGTAAGGTACGGTTTGCTTTTAGGTACCTTTTGACAGTTGAAACTGCCATAAAAGCGTACCAAACCGAACCGTACCGTACCACTCAGTGGAAACGGGCCACTAGACTGTTCTACTTGGTTATACTAATAAATGCATGTTAAATTGGCTTGCCATATGAGAGAGGAAAGGAGAGGAGGAGGAGAGACCGTGAGGCTGTGTGGATTGTTCGCATTGCACCAAAAGCATGCTCAAGTCCAAGTGAAAAAAAGAAGCATGCATCTGTTCAGATCAATTGCTTTAATAAAGTTAAAATTCCCAGCCCGCTCTGTAGGAAATAGAACAGCGGCCACATTGATATCACATGCATACCGGCACGTGGAGGGAGATGATTAATGCCTCTACATGCGATCAGGCAGAACAATTCACACAAAGTCAGGGTCAAACAATATTTAGCAGTAATGCACAAAGTAGATTTAATGTTCTACTACAAGAGCCCTTTGTTAATAAAGTGTAGAAACCACTTTAAAATTAATGTATACCATGATTTTAAGACGTGCATCAGCTTTTACATACACCAAATGAACACAAATGTACTTTGAAAACAATTGCATTTACATTGCAGGCGATGATGTGTGTATTAATAACACGATACAGCTATTTATATAGGCAAATGAGCATCTTGAGGTGTAATTATATTATAAATATATAAAATAAAACTAAACTAAATAAAATAAAATAAAATGCAACAAAATAAAATAAAACGAAATGAAATAAAATAATTAATTAATAAAAATAAGATGAAATAATAATAAAAATGAACAATAAAAAAATAATAAAAATAAGATAAAAATAAACAAAATAAAATAAAATGAAGTAAAAATAATCAAATAAAATAAAATAAAACAAGACAAAACAAAACAAATAAAAAAATAATAAGATAATACAATGAAAAAAATAAAATAAAACAAAGCAAAACAAAACAAAATAATAAAATAATGAAAAACAATAAAACAAAACAAAAAAACTAAACAAAATTAAATTAAATTGAAAATAATAAAATAAATCAAAGTAATTTTTTTTTAAATAATGTAATAAAATAAAAAATAAAATAAAATGAAATTAAATTAAATTAAAATAATCAATACTTATTCTATTTAAAATTTACATATTTATTATTATTATTATATGTAAAAGTAAAATCATTATTTTATTATTTTTATTTTATTTTATATATTTATTTTATAATTACACCTCAAGATGCTCATTTGCCTTTATTCAGCCTAATATGACATACTTTAAGGATTGAAAATGATATTCTCATTATATATTTATATATAATGCCTTAAAAGTAGCACCCATTTCTGCTTGGTGCATGTCAGACTGGCTGTAGATTGGTCACTTGCATCAGTGAAGTCAGTATTGAGTGTGTGTGTGTGTGTGTGTGTGTGTGTGTGTGTGTGTGTGTGTGTGTTCATTCAGCTCCTCATGCTGTAGTCTACGGCTCATGAGTATTCCAGCTGCAAACCACTGCAGTTTCTCCGTTCTGGAAAATCTGTCCCTCCCTTCGCATTCTGTCTCTCTTGTCCTCTTTCTCTCTTTACCAGCTCTGAGTCAGCAAATCTAAAGCAGTTTGATCTGACAGTCCGTCACCACCAACCCCCATCAGCTGTTTTATTTTTCTCCCCAATGCTTCTAAAAAGATATTTCTCCACCCAATCCTGAGTCCACTTGTGCATTTGGGTTGTCATTCATGATTTGGAAACATTCCCGATTCCTTCTACCCAGCAACTGCAGATATAAAAAAATATTAACAAAGACGTGTCTCGCTTGATCGTATAATTGCTACTTAAATTCAAATTAATATGTTAATGGGATTTCTGTATTCATCTGAGTGCAAATGCAACAATAAGAGACGTTTTGGGAAGAAAGAGCATTATACAGTACGCTTTATTTGGTTATAGTTATTTTATTAGATTCAGGTTAACACATTTTAATGCAGGTTTATGCTTTAATTTATGCTTTTAATTACATTTTTAATTTAGGTTAATGCTAATTTCATATACAAACATAGAAATAATTATTGTTAAAATCTTGGTATGGTCATATCAATCTTATACAGCATGCGATGCATGTATATATTATTGTTAATCATTATGCTGGAACATATTATAATGCCTTTCTCTAATGCAGATATAGTTCATTTATACATTTATTGTAAGGTGTTACAATATAAACATGTTGTGTATTACCATTATAAATTAATAAATATTGTTTTTATTGTTTTGTTATGACTGTTTTATAAATAAATGTTTATTGTTAAATGTACAGTTTATTCAGATTTATTATTTTATTTTATTATTTATTTTGTATTTTATTAATTTATAATAATAATAATTTTATTATTTTTTTGGTTCTTATTCTTATTTATTATTATTATTTTTTATTATTATATTTTTATTAATATTATAATTATTTATTATTATTATTATTATTATTTATTTCATTATATTATTATTATTATTATTATTATTTTATCATTTTTATTATTATACTATATATTCTAATACTATATTACTATTTACTGCGTTTACTATGTTTTTTACTATACATGTTCTTTTTAATGTAAGCTTAATACATTTGTAACATTTGTCATGCCAATAAAGCAATTATTAAATTCAATTGAATTGAATTGAGAGAGAGAAAAAGATGGCAAAACCAAATCAAATTTATAGCATTTTATAAATCTCACTTTTCTATAATAATAAAAAATTATATTAATAAAAATACATCAAGAGCGGTAAATAATACATAAGATAACAATCTAAAACAGTTTTTGGTATACTTTTGATAAAAATTATACCATTTTTGAAGGTTAAACCTTTTAAAATATTTAATTATTCATATATTTATTATATTATTTTCTTTAAAAGTCTCTCCAGATAAATATCATTGTCTGATAACATTAAAATATGGCAATAGTATATAATGTATCGTTTATTTTTACAAGTAATCCAAAATCTATCAACAATTCATTAAATTAGTTTGTTTTGATTAGATGAGGCTTTTATTTTTTCTAATTAAACAACAATTTTAGCTAATTTAACATTTTGAAACTATAAGTGTGAACTATATTTAAACATACTACACACATTTCCATAGCATTTTAAATTCTCTAATATTTTAGCTTACTGTGTTTTCGATTGAAATCCTAATTAATTGTATGCATGTTGAAATTAAAATAGAAAAATTAAGTATTTGCAATTATTCCCATCCACAATATATTTGTCTTGGTGTTTGGCGCCCTCATGTGGATGCTGAAAAATCAGCCGAGATTTGTATTGTGATTTTGGATTTGATGTGCACATTAAATACAATATAATCATTGAGACAGGGACATTTTGCATTATTAAACATCTCTTTTATTACTTCGTAGCACAGTTTAACATCTATTGCACAGTGAAAGTGTTAAGAGTGTTTGTGCATTATTACAGATAGAAAGCATAAAAATGTTTTCTGCATCACAGACGTATTGACAAGGACTTTGTTGGTCAGCACCGATCATCCTACTTTATACAGTAAGAGGAGCTTCCTACAAGGTTTAGTACCTTAAGCTTCATCTTAACCCTTAAGCAGCCAATCAGAGTCTTCCAGTTCACTTCTATACAACTTGAAGTAAACTACAGGAAGGTGGCACAGATATACACCAGTTTACTACTGAGGCTCCTCCCCTTCTTCATTAGACTCCTCCTCCTCCTCCTGTTGACCCCTCTTCTGAGAAGACACAGAAAAGAAATATGTCAATATATACAGTTGAAGTCACAATTA